CATTTAATATTTTTTTTTGTTTCAAATGTGAAATATCTTCATAATTGAATCTTCAATTAAATTAGAACCTAATTTAGATTAATAAGGATTGTAACGAGTTTTCGTGTCCATTTCCAAAACTTAGCTTACAAAATTTTTGAATAATCAATCTCAAATATCCATGATTTATAATTGATATTTTATTATATGTCGAAATAATCTTCAGTTTTTTCCAGCTTATTAGTATGATCGAAAGGACATCTTGGTCCTTCCGGGAACACCCTGCGTGTTCTGCAGAAACGCAACATCTTTGTGTGTCAGTTTCGCATCAGTAAAGAAAGGAACTTTCGAGCGACGCAGTCGTTTTCTTCAAATCTCGCCTCAATCGGATATTCGAAATTAATCTGAAAATAGAAGAAGCATATATATTCTAAATATTTGACCAAGTTCTTCAAAGATTCTTTCTCACAATCTGAAAGATTCTTTATCATATGCGCTTTTTCTTTCTCTCTCAGGTATTTCTCTCATCGTGCACCATTGTCTCAAACATTTCAAACGATACGGCTTTCAAATTGAAACATTGCTCTCAACAAATTTTCCACTTTTAGGATGGTTATAAGCTCAGGTGTGTCTCTCGATGAGCTTACTTCTCTTTTTTTGTTTCCTTTTCTATCTCGTAATCGCTTGCTTTAACTTTAATTAAGAGAACAGAGGTCGTAACATTATTATAGTTTCACAAAGATCAAATTGCAATGCCACAAGTGCGTTAAAATGAAAAGGTCATCTTACCGCATCCGCGGCATGTGGAATTGAGCTGGCTGAAGTTATAGTTGTTTCGATCACTGGCTCTAGAATCCTCTATCTTTGTCTTAAAGAATTAAGGGCCGTCTTTAGCGCGATCCATCGAGCACTGTGTGATATCGTTCGTTGTATGACTGATGTTTTCAGACCAATTGGCACTGCGGATGAGGTGGTTGCGCACGAGCTAGCATATAGCGCGAATAAGTCGCTTCATCACGCATACACGGACGTGGAATACTAATTCTCTATTCCTATATACATATATACACGTATTAAAAAACGAGAGAACAGGAAAAGAAATGACGGATTCCGAACAAGCCTGCTACACACGCTCTTTTTACTCGCCTTAGTAGTAATACACGAGATGAGAGATCCTGTTTTTGTACGTCTGACTCACTATTTACGTGTGTGTTTTTTGCAACTTCTTATTTTTTAATAAACCTCAAAACACGTGCGAACGACATCTCCTTGAATTGTAACTGAGCATTCACCACCCACCTTTTTCTGGCTGGCTCTCTTGTATAGCCCGAGTTCATTTCCCGAGGACGATTGATTCGTTTTTACTGGTCGGAACTCAACGTTGAGAAGAATCGAGGAAACCTTAATTTTATAAGATCTCAATTTTACCGTTAAGCACAATTCTCTCAAGATATTCGCGTTTCTTTTCAGTTGAGTTCACGTTCTATTTTATAAGCAGACAGGGAGTGTGCGATTCGCCACGATTCCGCCGAAATAACATATCTCCGTATAGTAATGCGGTTGTTATTACGCAAGATAACTTTGCATAAACTTTGACAATCGCAGTCAAAGTTACAGTACCGCCACTTCCGGAAGTATAGCCGGCCGAATGATAACGGAAAGCGATGTGTAAATAGATCACGAACAGTCAATGTTATATTCTCTGTATCTTCTCATACACCTGATCTCTGTCAGTATGTAACATGGTAATGCTTGTTGTTATGTGCCAGTCAAACTTGCAGATTCGGAGGTTGAAGGGTCTACAGAATCGGATTCGGACCCGCTCTCCAGACTCCGCTTTTCTACCCGACCAACGGCAAACAGGGCGGCCCACGGCCCACGTATACACTGTCGCCTAATGATGCGTAGTGTGTCGCAGTGTGCGAAAGAGCCCTCCCCCTCAATGTTACTTAAACAGAGACACACCGCCAGAGTGTCGTCAGAGATATCACCCGCAAGCCAAATTGCCGGTGAACTACGGAACACGAACGTGTAGAGAGAGAGAAAGAGAACCACAGGGCACACACTCGATCATCTCTCCATACTGTGATATGGTGAGCACAGACTCCTCCTGTCCGATAAATAAGTCGTAACTTCATTCCGGGAATCCGGGAAAAAGATTGAATCCGCCAATGGTATTCTGCATAAAAATAAGCTAACAAGAGTCGGCGCGGGAGTAAGGTCGAACCGTTTCTCTAATCGGCTCTTGTCGCCGGATTTGCGAGTTTGATCGGTGCACCAGATGCGAGAGAGAGAGAAAGAGAGAGGGAGAACGTCGGATATCCCGCTTTTCCAACGCCGGATTAGCTTCACCACACCTTTCTTTTTACGTATCACGCAAACAGTACCATTCGGCCGAGACCACGGAGCATGATCGTCGGCGAGAACACATCGTGTCTCAGAGCCAACGTGATGCAGCGAAAGAGACCAAGAAAATATACAACATCCTGCCTGGATGTCCCCGAGTTCTCCCGCGCAGATTTACTGTCGTTGGTTCTGGGACGGATCTTTCTTCATCGAAGCTGAAAAACCTCTCTCGTCTCTCTCTCTGTTTTTTTTCTTTATTTTTCTTCGAGGGCATCCTCTGTTTTCCCTCTCGATACCCCGAGCGTGTACACGCCGCTGTCGAAAGCACCCCCGACCACCCCGATACGCCGTAGACTTGCGTAATCGGCGAGACTCGACGCTCGTTGTTGGTTAGAGCGGATAGCGCGGGGAAACGCGCGAGTTGCGTGCGCGTACGTATAGTACACGCGTGTGAGACTGTCACGTATACGTACATACACACACGTCGTGCGGAAAATAACAGCCCGGTGCATGGAGTGCACTTGCACACGGAGAAACCCCGTCGGATATTCATATATGTACGTATACATATAAATATACATCGATACGCGCTACGTATCGCAAGTACTCTCTCGAAGATTCTTTACGGTATAATATCGGTACCGGACTAATCGTCGGGATGATAACGAGGCGGGATAATCGAGAAAGGTCTGGTACCAGGTCGCAGCCTTTCTCTTGCTCTCGCTTGTAGCCCATAATAATGATAATCTCAATAACGGACGTGCGAGATTCCGCTGCGGTTGTGCGGCTCGTCTTCGTCGTCGTCCTCGTCGTCGTCTTCGTCGTCGTCGACTTCGTCGTCGTCGCCTACGTCCTCGTCGCAGTTCGCCCTTGCCGCCGCCACCGCCGTCGCCGCCGCCGCCGCCGCCCCGTCGCCGTCCTCGCCGTCTTCGCTGTCGCCGCCGCTGTTGCCGTCGCAAGTGTACGCAAGTCGCCGTCTGTAGAATCACGCAGCCCGAGTTACAACCGGTTCGGGACACACGCAGACTGAGAAGCACGACGAGATGAGAAAAAGCTTCAGAGACCCGATCTGTAAGCTCTATACTCGCTGAGATTATGCCTCGGACACGTCGACGCAAAACCTCTCGCTTTGCGAAAAAAAAAGACCAAAACAAAACACCTAGTCCTCCCTCGGCACGGAGATCGTGAACCGCCGATCGGGATCATCGGGAGGAGTTAGGAATCCGCAAAAGTATAAAATGTAGAACGGAAAAAAAAGCGGACACGTCGGGATGCACGGGTTACCCCCTCGACCTCGCGTGGTAGAAAACGGAAAAAAAAATACGAGAAACACACGCATAAGTCGGTCGTCATCGTCGTCGGTCGTCGCCGCATTAGCCCGGAAAGAACGGAACGAAAACGAAGCGCAAAAACCGATAGAAACGCGCCGCAGAGATTGTAACACGCTGTATTGTAATGTGATGTGTGATATAGGACACGATGTGATAGTCTCTCTACGCCCGGCGACGTCCAACGACCTGATGGAGGCAGCCGGCTCTCGACGGCTGAGAACGGAGTAGAAGGGGCGGCTTCTCGACGAGCCCGATGGAGGAGCGACGACGTGGTGTTGTTTGGCGAGAGGTAATTGTCGACCAAATTAAACCCTGTGTGTTTGCCACGTTGAAATAAAAATATACGTAAAGAGGGAATTATAAAGAGAAAAAAATAGAGAAGAAGACGGTGTGTGTTTGTATATATATATGTGTGTGTGTGTGTGTGTATATGTATGTATGTATGTGTGTATACACACACACATATATATATGTATATATATATATATAT